AGTCGATCATTTTCTTGAATGAACAAATGCCCTAATGATAAACTCTTAAATGACAAATTATTATGTACGTGTGATCATAGTTTAAAAAACAACCTCGTACGTTAACTGTATGTAGCAATCATCTTTTAATACCATCAAGGAAGTACAGTAGACATTTTTACTTCTTTGCCATTCATATACTTTCTGATAGTTCATTAAACTGTGTAACATTATCTAAGCTATGATAGATGACATAACTTTGATTAGACTGAAAAATTAGTTTCTAGCTAAAAAGTTGAGGGACCTTGTTAACTCCTTCTTAAATAGGACAACTTCAACAAAGAAATTCTACCTGCCCCTATTTGTTTGATCAACTTTATGATTTTTATCCAACTGGAATGGTATGGGGACATCCTTGATTCTTTAAAATGACAGTAAGTTGATACCATCATTCCAGGATCAACAGGTTAGCCACTTTCTGACGGTGAAAGGAATTCCTCAAATAATCTAACAGAATGCACCGCCCATTTAGACCTCATACATCCTTGATCATAAAGTACAGTGTCTGTTCATAGGAGAGAGCAATGGGAATATTTCCCAGAATGCTCTTCGAGTTGCCTATAAAAAGGAAGTTTAACTCAAATTGGAGATAAGCAGCAACACAACACAAGTTGTCATACCTGCTGCAGCACCAGTGGATGTTTTCTGCCCAGCCTGCTTCAGGTGTCTTTTGATTCCAGACACCTAAAGATAAAGAAAAAGTCCACCAGGTAAGTTTTTCTCTTCAACCTTTACTATTCCTTTGAATAACTGTCTATGATTACACGGAATCAAATAACTGTTATATATTTTCTTTTCATAGAATGCGTTGTCTTGTCCTTGTTGCCCTTCTTGCAGCCTGTGTTTCTGCCAACGGTAAGTTCCAATGTGATTATTTAAGCTTATGTTAAAAAGAATGAATGTATTGTTCTTGATTACCAATGAGTTGTTTGATTGTTTTTCTCTGGCAGTCCAGCCCCACTACTCATTCTCCCCACCTGTGGGATCAGGGGGTGGTAGGTCGTACTTGATCAGAGGAGAAGGAAGGATCACTGCCATAAGGGTATGGGAATGGCATGGAAGCTACATAAGTGGGTAAATAAAAATCACTGAATTATTGAGAAATTGTTTATTGTACTGATTTATGTTGAAAGTTCCGCATTTACTATTGTCATACTCATAAATGCTATACATATGATATATTTTTCTTACAGGTATTGTTATAAGTATTGTCAATGCAGTGCCGTGACCACTGATTCCAACACCTTCTACTTCATGTTTTTCTTTTTCTTCCTCACTTATCAGCATCCAGGTCAGATACGGCTTTGTCTGGTCTCGTGTTGCTGGATACTCCAGTGGTAGTTCTCAGCAAATTGAGCTGTTTGATGATGAAACAATTATCCAGATTTCTGGGAAGTACAGCCACTATGTGGAATCTGTCGTGTTCACCACCAATTTGGGACGCTCCTTGTATGCGGGCCGTCCTTCGGGTAATTCTTTCAACCTGTACCCAGAACACCCCCAGGCTGAGCTTGTCATCCTCAACGGCCGCTGGCATTACGGTATCATCTCAATAGGAGCACACTGGGCTGTTCTCGATCCATCCCAGATCAGCTACTCAAACAGCACCAGGGCCTGATGATGAAAAGCAGAGTAGTCAGCACCATCTGAGAGAACATTTTCTCTTTGGTCTTAAAGTCTGATTCGATTTTAAAAATACCTTTTTGTCAATGATGATTTTCAATATGACTATTGATAGCCATGCAAATTATAAATGAGCCTTCTGCTTTCTGGTACTATGGAAATATTTTTGCTTGTAAAAATGAACATGCAGTTCCATATTCATTTTGTTTAATCAATACAAATCGCCTTTTTGTCTTCTATCTGTTGTCATCCTGTCATATTCCATTTGATCATTTTGTTCTCTCAGTGCCGATATCAAACCAACACATTGTTTAATTTGTTGCACATGTGTAGCATGCCAACTGACGAACTGTGTGAAATTAATAAAGCATAAGAGGAAAAAAAACCTTCATGCTTCTTGGTTTGTTTTATATTTTACTTGAAGAAAGGTTGAGCAATATACACAATGTTTTGCAATTTTACAAATTCAGATGCAAACAAATATGTTTGCCAGATAAGAATGTATGTTCACAGTCAACACAGCAAACCAGAATTTCACCCGGACATTGTGGGGACCACAGTTGTTTGAGGTTTCGAGAGTCTGACCTACAACAATAAAAAATATAAATGGAGGAGATTTGATGAAAGACAGACACAAGTCGATCATTTTCTTGAATGAAAAAATGCGCTAATGATAAACTCTGAAATGACAAATTATTATGTACGTGTGATCATAGTTTAAAAAACAACCTGATACATTAACTGTACGCAGCAATCATCTTTTAATATCATCAAGGAAGTACAGTAGACATTTTTCCTTCTTTGCCATTCATATACTTTCTGATAGTTCAAGCTTGGTGACTTGATGCAAATTGAATAAATCAAGAGGGCTTTGCAAATGTTAAGTGAGACAATAGCACAAATATTTTATTAAACATTTTCACTTCTTTGAAAGATGACAATATTTACACGTATAGATCACATGTAAATCACAGTATTTGACGTACATGTAATGCAGTGATGGATAAAATAATACAAAGGCCATATATTCTTACGTTAAATTAAATGATTTTTCCAATTTTTTCACTGAACTTCCAGAAGTACTTTTTTTTTGTTCTTGAAGTTACATTTGGCTGGGTGGTCTGCTTTATGTTATCATCCACAAGCCTACATCACAGATAAAAACACATTTCAATGAAAATGAACAGAATAACTTAAGTTTCAAACGGATTTAAAACGTTCACTGTTACCATCAGTATTTGATTCCTGTCACAAATATGCAAAACAAAAACAAATAAAGTCTTCCTGGACCTTGCATGATAAGGAAAAATTCCTTCTTTAGGTAACATTGCTGACTGGGAACCCATCACATTCACCTTTCTTGTTTCCCGTCAGCCAATGACGACATGGAAGACTATTAGACGGAAGACAAACTGGAATTCACAGGTGATATAAAAGCACGCCCCACAGGCTGAAAAAGAGAGCTGATTACAGAGCCGGCTGTACGGACATGCTGTTGGCTTTTTGAGAATCGATTTTCAGGTTGTTTTGATCATTTATTACTCGGAAGAGATTTTTTTTCTTCATCAAATACTCCAGGACAACATTAGAACAATGGTTAGTCTCATGTCAAATAATCTAACCATGTTGTTTTGTTCATGGCTTTAGGTTTGTTGTAATGTGCACAACAGGATCAGAAGGTAAGGCCTCCACCTTTTTATTGCTGTTACTTCAAATAAGGAGTCAGTTGCTTACATGAGTCTTGTTGTTATCAGTTTGCTTCACAGAATGCACCACATCGCTGTCTTCATCCTGCTCACAGGCTGTGTCTTGGCTAAAGGTGAGAGCTCACGTTTTAGTGAAAAAGGCATTTGAGTAATCCCATGAGATGGACAACGTGCGAAAATCTTAATCTGAAGAAGCATGTAGTATTTCCACATAACCAGAAACAGTTTGTATTGTACATATTAAATACATGAGATTACATTTTATTTTGAAATATGAAACTTTAAAAAAAGTAAGTGAACTTGTAATTTCATCTTAAAATGTATTTATAAAATGCTCACTATGTCCTGACCATGATGTTGACAGCTTTACTTATCTTTGTACCTCTTATTCCCGCAGATCAGCCGCTGTATTCCTTCTCTCCAGCTGTGGGATCAGGAGGAGGCTCCACCTACAGTATCACTGGGGAGGGCCGAATCACGGCTGTTCGTGTGTGGGAGCTAAGCCGCAACTACATCTATGGGTGAAAGCTTTAAACTCTTTATAGCAGTCATTAGGGACGGGGCCAAGCCAGGGCTCTATTCAAGAGCCTGATACCATGATAATAGTAATTTTAAGGTACAGAACAGAGTAGAATTTTTTTTTAATCATCCCCCAGTGGAGGGAATTGAAATGACACATTGTATGGTTGTTGAGAAGAAATATTAACTGCAAACTGTACTTAGTCTTTTACAAGAAAACATATTGTTATTATTGTTATGATTATCATTATGATTATTAACAATAATCATAATGATAATAATAATCATCATCATAATCATAATAATAATAATCCCAATGATACACGTTTAAAATGACATTTTCTTCCCTGGCAGTCGTGCGTAACTCACGGTTTCCCTTTTCCCCACAGCTTCCAGTTCTGCTACGGTTTCATGTGGACGCCTGTTGTTGGCTTCATAAGTGGCGAGCCACATGAGTTTGAGTTGCATGATGATGAAGCCATCATCCAGATTTCTGGGACGTATTCTCACTACATTCAGTCTCTGGTGTTCACCACTAACAAGGGCCGTTCTCTGCATGTAGGAAATCCCTCAGGCAACTCCTTCAACATGTACCCTGAAAACAGAGACGCAGAGCTGCACATCATCAGTGGCCGGGTTCATGGAGGAATTTCCTCAATTGAGGCCCACTGGCTCGTCCTTCAAAATGATAGCAAAACCAAGCAGTGAATATGACACAGTGAATATGGATTACTTCCATATCAGAACTGTGTTTGACAAACTGTGTATACTGTGTTAAGTCACTCAGTACTTTGAAAGCAAAAGAAATGATTAAACATTATTCTTTGTAATTAAAGCTAGCATGTGGCATGATCATTCTCCTATAGCCTTCCTCTGTGGCAAAATCATCAACCAAACCTTTGCATGTGATTACTCTAATCAGTTACTAACCAAAACATCAACATGGACAAATATTGTCTTTTGAAGAAGGGACTTCTTTAAAACATACAAAAAACATATATCAGCTGAGCTAATATGTCATGTCAGCTCATGACTGTATATCTTTTTCTTCAAGCTGCAAATCATGTACCTGTCCTTGTTGGATTTAAATATCAAATAAATCGCATCATGTGAGCATCAAAATGTTCCCAAAGTTCTCTCATTTCTTTGATTGGACGCTGACAGATGAATAGAAGAGTAGGTAGACGGATGGATGACACTCCCATCTCCATGTGTGAGGCATGAAGCTCAGCAATTGAATAATTTGCTTGACTGTCTAAACCAGTCCATGTTATGGACTCAATGACAGTACCTAAAAGCACACTCTGGTCCATGACTTGTATAAATTGTGTACAAAATCAGTACAACCAAAACGTATGAGATGTTACTACGAAAACACAAAAGCACATAGGATTGACATATTTCTATCGCCATAACGCTGAATGCAATTTGATTTTTTGACATTTTGTACGGCATATATTCATTTTTTTTTATGTTGTTAAATTATTTGATGCTTAATGTCTTACTGAACTATTCTGGTATGCTTGAACTCGTGAATGATATCACATCCTTATACAAAATTAATTATTGCAGACAGTCTGATGAAACCCAGTGTGCACATAATTAATGTGCTGTTGCAGCAAAAAAAAAATGTAAAAGGAAAATTGATCCTTAAAAAGAAGAACAGGCCAGTGAGAAGGCTTAGAAGAAGACTAATGAGCGTGAGCACAGACTTCCTCATACTGTACCCTGCTTTATCTTCTTATCACTCAGCAAACCACAGAGGCTGACAGTCAGATAAAGAAAGACTCAGCGTGACGCCTTGTTTTCCTGTCCCTTGCAATACCTGTACTGCCTGTCTTTCCATTGAGACACTGTAACCTGAAGTGACCCACGATGCCTCCCTGCGTGCTCATTTTGCTAGTACAGACAAGCAGAAAATAATACCACACCATAAAGGGCATACAGAAACCACACAGACAAATTTCTCTTGTCAAAAACGATCCAGCATGATACGTTTGCTTTTAATAGTATCAATGAAGAGGAATGCGCCCTGGGCTTGTGGTATGCGCACTAATGCCTGGTCACTGGGCTTCCCAACCTGCTGTATATCACCGTTCAGTAGACCGATGGAATGCACTCTTGAGAGGGGTGCCAGAGTAGATGGATCAGAAGTCTTTACTCAGGTAAAAACTAACTGTGATGATCACTTCATGTGACTGCTTGGCTTGCAGTGTAGCACTGCTTGGTTCCAAGAGGAAGAAGGTGGCATATTTCACTAAATTATCTCCTTTTTAAAAAAGATTGACCATCAACACAGACAAATGAAACAGGGAATCAAAGACAGCTTACTGCATTTTGAAACGCCCTGATAAGGAGAGTCTTCAGATGTTTTGGCTCTCCTTTCTGGATGAACCTGCTGAAATCATATGGAATTTAGGGTGTTGATATTTTAAGCAAAAAGCTTCCCCATAATGAGTTTTCTTTCTTTCTTTTCCTTCTTCTTCTGCTTATAATGATCAGTATCAATGAAACCCACGATTACTTTAGTCTGTTTTCGTGGACTACTTGTCTCCCTATGTCAAAAATGCTGTGCTTCCTCCTCTGTCTTTTGAAAGGACCTCGCTTCAAGGCTCATTTTGCTCCAATTGGTTAGACATGGAACATTGTGAAGCAGCTGCCCTGTCTTTACACGAAGATGTGATAAAGTACTCGTGAGGCAGATGAGCATGTGTTACATGGTGATGTAAGTACAAGAAGGTAGTTAGTACTGTTTGGACAAGGCATCTTTTATGCATGAGAACGTCTTGCGTGGGCTTTGGGCTTTGTAACTCTGAAGAGCTTTTACTTACACACAAAGATAAGTGACATGACAAAGGAAAAGGTTTATAAACCCTAAAGTAACCTTGAAAAACTGCAGCCGAGCTGGGTTACTAAGAGAAAACGTTTCAGTTTACACTGCTCCATGTCTTTCTTCTAATTTTGTGGGTTTGTTCCCACAACCTTAAATATGGTTAAATATTTTTAATTAAACAAACATTTTACTGGGACTAACTAATATAATGGTGGAACTCCATGTTTTTACTTAAAACTGGCTTAAGTACTAAACTGCCCACCAGTGTGAGAGTAAGCATGCATGGTTGATGTGTCTTTTGTCTCTGTGCTGGTTCTCTTATGAAGCCAAACACAACATTGATGGATGGATGAGGAGATGAAAGACAGAAAAGTTTTATTTTCAACACAATTCATTTGAGTCATTAAGGCATCCGCAATTGCACAATCCACAAGTAGCGTGCGTGTGTGAAGAAAGGACTCCTTTCAGCCCTGACTGAACTCGTCCGTCCTTGGTTTTTTGCAGGAAGCGCTGCGCCTACATTACCCAGGATCCTCAGCGGCGCGGCAGCGGCAGCTGTGCGCTCCGACTCGCCCGCAGCAAAGTGATAACACGCCGAACCAGGTACAATGAGAGAGCGTTGAGTTTTGACATTTCGCTTGCTTCCTTGTAAGAGATGCCCAGATCTGCGGAGTAGCGCTATGGCTGTCGAAGGTAAGAATCCCTCCACCTGCGCCGTGGCGTTCCAGCTTTTGTAAAAAATTTCACAGACAACAGAACATAGTTGACGGTCGCGGGTTTGCGGGGTTAAACTCCCAGACAGTCGGGTCAGCTCTGATTGGGTGATGTTTCAACCGCTCCTGGCCGCATTACGCTCACATTGCTGTCATCTTCCCAGTTTTATCGCACGGTGTTCATGTCCACACAGAATAACCCCCCCCCCCAGTGAGCGCGCTGCTTCTGTCTGTATTTACATTGTTACTGCGTTACTGGTCGTGGCTTTGTGATTGGAGGCAGCTGGTTAACAGGTCTGCCGGCCGTTTTTCACCCCCGGTGCTCCTGGCCCCGGGCGCTCACTGGGAGATGCCCAGGACGCACGGGATTCGCTGTTTCGGTGTTTGCACGGCGCCTGTGTCTGTGTTGTGATGCAACAGAGAGCGGTGTGTGCGCTCAGCCTGCCCCCTTCCAGACCAGTCGGGCTCAGGCTCCTCATCTGGCAGCAGGTGTTATCACATGTGGGACGGGGGAGGTCACCTCACCCTGCTTCTCCTGGCGATTGTCAACAAAGAGCATTTTAAGGGGGCCCGCTCGGGGTTGGAGAAAGTGACAGTGTGACACAGTCAGCGATTCGGGATGCTCGGCCAGTCTCCTCACCTCATCGGAGGGATTTTGTGGATCCAGAATCCAATGAGAGGTACGTCGGTCGGTCAGCTGGGGGACTGGAGGTGGCGCATGCAAGTAGTGATCCCTGTTTTTCACCCTAAGGCCCGTAGCTCCAACACCTGCTTTCAGCGTGTTGATTTGTCCCATCTGACCTGAGATCAGGTTGTGCATGTCTGAAAGCCCCGTGTACAATGTCTATGTGATGGGCAGTTTCTCCTGGACCAGTGCCTCATCTATGTAATATTAAAGTGTTTTTTCTTTGGATTTGTTTTTAAAATGCTGTTGTTATTATTTCTTCATGTTGGAAATCTTTTTTTTTTTTGCTGGTTTAATGCAGCTTTGGGTGCATAGCATGCAGGCGTAGAGCTTTTGATCTCAGCAGTTCTCCCCCTGTAAGCTGTGTTTCTCATGGTGAATTAGGCTCGAAGACCAAGATGTGCTCAACTTGAAGGCTACTCGGAAGCCTCTGGAGGAACATCATCATTAGTTGTTCTATTTTGTGACCAACAAATGTATTGTGTAAGCACTTGCTCCTATGTGCTCGCTTCTTTTTTATGCCAACAGCTGACTGGTAGACATAAATTACTGAAACCTGTTGGCGAAAAGATGCCGATCCCTGCTTTCACTTGAAATATGGCTGAAGTGATAAACGACGAGCACAGTGGCAGCTACAACACTGCCAGCCTTCCGGCATATTCCCCAGTACAGTTTCATTCACGCATCTCCTGAGATTCATCTCTCAAGCTGTAACGGAGGAAAGGTGCCTGCACATGCACACGCTCTTCCAGAGCGGAATAGCAATCTGTTGTACATTTTTATCAATTCCTCCCTCCCTTCTTCATCTAATTTTATCCACCTGGGCCAGTAGCTCACACTCTTCTCTTTTCTGAAGCAATCTCTCCAAAGCCATAAAATGTTTATGATATCACTCTGTCATTCCTTTCTCGTGATTTCAGAATCACATCCAAGTCACCTCTGACTGTGGCTTGAGCATCAGGATAGAAATTGAGGATCTTGTCGAACACAAAAGATTAAACCAGTGATTCCTCTTGCAGCATTTATGCAAACATCCAGTGAAATTGGCAATTCAGTGACTTGCATCATTGAGAGGGATGATGTATGAGTCATGTCCAAAATCACTGAAGCTGCAATAATAAATACTTCTGGCACATTTAGAAAGGAATTAAATGGTGAAAAGCTCAATTTTTCAACACTCTGATGAGATTTAGCAGTGGGACAATTCGAACACTAAAAGAAGTCATCTCAGCAAGCAATCTGAACTTCAGCTCTTTGGCTCAGTCGGTGAATCACTTTTTATTTGTGAATCACTGCACAATGAACACCATCCAAACTCAGTTAAATTGAGTAGTTGTTTTTGTTTTTACAACTACATTTTTATGCCCAATTGTTTTAGGATAAGTCTGACTTGGCACAACATTAAATATTTAGTTCTTTCTTTGCTGTTTAAATAATGAAGTTATGTGAACCTTAAATGTTTTGTTTTTTAAAGTTAAGATGTATAAATTGATCCTCTTTAATGGCTGAATTATAAGCCCAGCATGCAAATGTACTGACTGACCAAAGGTTTGTTCGAAATGCCTGTTTGCCGTTTGTTAAAGCACTTTTTTGTGCCTTCATGGAGTCATCTCTGTGGATTGGGACCGAGCTTTTCCATCACTTGAAGTACAAGCAGTGATGTTTCAGAGAAATCACACCAGCCCTGCAGTGTCACTGGTTTTCTATTTGTGTGCTCCACCAACAACGCCTTTAAGTCAGAAAATATAGGTCACATATTAAATCATTTATAACACATGAGAGGACAATAAGCTCTTGGAGAAACCAGCTCTCAGGAAAGTGCAGCCCTCCCATCTGGGCTTTACTTTGGTCGTCACTTGTACTTTGCTGCGTTCAGCAGATTTGGGTCA